ACATTCCCAAATGCTCTTTGCTGTGGCCATCTCATGCTGGAAACAATTCCTCTCATACTCAGACCTTTTGTTTTTACTGCTGGACGCAGATGGTGTTTGTGGCCCAGCCCAAGGAGAGGTCCCAGGTGGGAATTCCCATTGCCACACGTCACCAAAGCTGTGGTGATCCCAGCGCCTGGAGCTGACCCCTGCTCAAGCATTTTGGCCCAGCTGAACATTCCCTCTGAGTCTGCTGTGGAGCTCCCTGCCCCAGGGGATGTCACATCCCATGGATTTGACAGGTCAGATGAAAGGAGGGAGGGCCCTGCTCTCTGAGAAACTTCTGGGCCTGCACAACTAAGAAAAAGAAGCCACCAGAAAAGGACAAAACCAGTTCCAGCTGAAGGGCCAGGGATTCCTATTTGTATCTCCACCTGCATTTAACCTGGGGCTGACCAAGCAGCTTTTTGTCTGTTTGTCTGGATGTCTGAGCAGTTGGGAAAGAAGGGTGTGGGGGGGAAATCACATTTTCTGCTTCATCCAGAAACGTTGTCTTAGGCCATTACTTATTAACTTAATATGGAGACAACTCCTCTAAGAAGGGGTGGGGATGCAACAAGTAATTAGATGACCAACCCTAGCCAGAACAGGAGATTTTTCATAGCTAAAAGGGCTGGACCATCCCTGGGTTTGACACTGCTGGCAGTGCTGGTGCTGGGCCAGGATCTTATCTCCAGGGCAAGGGGAAACAATGGGCATGCTGAGACCAGCAGAGTCTTACTGGGAAGGACCACACTCTTCCACCTAAGCATTCAGGATGAGATTTCACGCTGGTTTCTGGGCCCCTGGTCTCACACATGTCTGAGAAAGGCCATGGGACTGTTCTCACTGATGCAAACAAGGCGGCTGCTACTCCAGAGCCCCTAGAGGTGTTGCCTCTGCCTTGAAGTGCTATTTCAGTCTTGCCACAGCATCCAGATGGCCCTTATGGCATGGCAGGAGTGTGCCACTCACCTTCCAGCTCCTGCAGGCTGCTGATGTCCCCAGGCAGAGTGTGAGGAAAGAGGAACACACCAGTTTTACCTTGACAGAAAGCAGACTGTGCTTCTGCCCTGGGCAGGGAGAGGTGTGGGATAACCCCAGCACACCCCAGCAGGGCTGCAGGAGAGGCTGGGCAGAGGCAGAGGCTGCAGCCAAGCCTGCCACGGGCAGTGGGAGCAGGCAGGAGCTCACCTGGGCTCAAACACAGAGCAGGAGCTGGGACTTTGGAGGGGTTCCAGTCTCACCTGGAGGAAGAGGAGGAGGAAGGACACTCCTTCAGGAGTCAGCTGCTGGTTAATTAGAGGAGACAAGTGCCAGCCCTGCTGCTGTAATGAGGAGAGGCATCTTGGAGCACTTTGCTCACACACTTGACACTTCCCATGGTTCTTCACCTGACAGGCCACAGGCTCTCTCCCTTTGCAGAGCAAACATCAATACAGATTAACACCTCCCAAAGCTGTCAGGCACCAATACCAGATACAGTGTCCTCCCTCCTGACCTCTGTGAGAAACAAGCTTCTAAAACATCTTATCTTGGTGAAATTTAAGAGGAGATAGAAATTAAAGCTATAAATACAGCTGCTAAGTACAAACACGAAAAGGGAAAGTGTGAAAAACCTTAATGCTGATATAAGCTAAGGCAAAAATGAAGAAAGGAAATATTTAAAAACAGAGAAGGGTGGAAAGGGCAACTGTTGAATCATGAAGCATAAAACATGATAAGGATTTTTCAAACAAACTTAATATAAAGAAAATTTTCCAGATTGAAGTGGAAGCTCTTGCCTGTAGAACCGTGTGTCTACAGTCAGATACTTTGAGAATCTTTTTTTTTTCTGAAACTAAAACATCAAAAGATAATTAATACTCTATTGTGGAAGACAGAAGGTACACTTCAAAAACAACCTCTTCTCCTTGCCTCCATCAGCTGCCTTCCTGGAGTGCTCCATTTGCCTTTAAGTGGACTCTTAGAGAATCCTACTGAAAACTTAAGAGCCCTCAGTAGCACTTTCTCATCTTCTTACCCTTCTGCCTGCTTTAGGCATCTGCAGCAGTCACATGCTGGAACTAAAATGTCATTTCTGTCATCTCCCTGCTCCTCCTCCTCCTCTGCACTCCTGGCTCCTCCTGGCACAGCATTGGACTGCTGGGATTCACCACCCAAAGGGGCAGAGGGTTTGATTCTTTTTAATTCTACAAATTCTACACAACAAACAAATCAACCAAGAACTTCTCACTCCTTCCAGCCACCTCTTTCCCTCCCCACTATTGTGCTCACAAAGAGCAGAGAAAGGAAATATTGAGATGGGGAGGTAAGGCAGGCACAGCATGAGTGGGGGAAAAGCACCAGGTTCATTCTACATTGGTGAAGTGACAGGGCCATAAGGAAGTTTAGGAAAGAGCTCCTGGACTCATCCCTTCTTGCTCCCTGGACCATCCCTACTGCTCCTGCAGCATTCCTATTGCTCCTGGAGCATCCCTACTGCTCCTGGACCACCCCTACTGCTCCTGGGCCATCCCTACTGCTTCAGGAGTCAGCCCTGCAGAAGGGAGCAGCTTTTCAGGAGGTTCTATATTTCCCCTGTCTGTTTATATGATATTTATGACTTCGGCCTAAAAGGAACCATTCCATTACCCAATCCCTGGCTGCAGAAATGGCCACAGGTGCTGAGGGCAGCGCTGGGCTCTGTGAAGCTCAGCTCAGGAGAAGGGCACACAGTTCTTTCAGGCATTGACTGTTCCATTTACAGCACTGATTGGCTGTTAATCTTAAAAGCAATTCATCTTTCTCATGCTTATTGATTAACAAAATATAGAGTCCCTGACAGAGACATTGATGCTGACCTTGGGAATTGCTTTGTGCTTGCTAAAAAGGGCAAGGTAAGCCCCAATCCCCACAGCTGTCCTGCCAGGAAGCCTCACTGGACTGCCATGCCTCAATTTTTGGATTTGGAAGAAGAATTTGTGTGGCTGGCACAGCACAGCACAGCCAGAGCAGCTACAGCCCCTTACTCTATTTCCAGGTGAGTATTCCTGGGTACCACCTTGAAATAAATGGAGTTTCCTGCTGTGTCAGAGATGCTTATCTCTAAGGAATGCTGCATTTATTGGAAAAGCTGAGTGAAAGGAGCTCTCATGAATCTGAGAGTGGAGATTAGACTTGTTGCCTTTAGATTAAACCTCTCCTAATTAACCTTCCAATTAACCTCACATCACTCCTTTGAACAAGACCATAAATACAAATGTTACTACATCCCCTTTTATCAGAGAAGAGTGTTTGCTAGATGGAATAATGATAGATGGCCATAATCTACTGAGAATTATATTAGCAAGAGTTTCAAGCTCTGCTCTCAGTGCCCAGGAGGAGCAGAGAGGGCATAGCTGCTCTGACAAGCACAAAAAAAGCACCAAATTTTCTCCTCAAAGCTTTGCAAACAAGCACAAAAAACCCACAAAATTTTCTCCTCAAAGTTTTGCAAAGTGAACTCTGAGATGCAGAATCACTTGAAAATACTGGCCACATTTGCCAGGTTAAAAGAAAACCTGAGTTGAAAAACTGTGCTGTGGAGAAATTAAGGAAACCAAACAAAACCTAACCAACCCAGGATCCATCAGACAGGAATCAATGAATCTGCAACAACAAGGCAATGCTCCAAAGGAAATCAGCCTCTCCCTCATGTGAGGAGGAGCAGTTCTGCTCCAGGGGACACGTTTTTAAGTGATTCCCAATATGCTGAAACATGCTTTTCTCCTTACCCAGAGCAGCCCCTACCTTTTTGCTTTCTCAAAGACTCTTTTTTCCCTGTGTGAAAAGTTCTTTCTGTTAGAGACAATGTTCTGCTGAATGTGCAGGTGGTGAGAATGGATATTGTTGAAAAAATGGAAGTAACTCCACGTGAACTTTCAGTCTACGAAAATTTAACTTTTTCAGTACCAGTTTTCCCTGCACTCACTGTTTGGGCTGGGTATCAGTGCCTTTGTATTTAAAAGATTTCACTGCTACCTCTCCTTGCTGAGGAGATTTTCTGTTGTGGATTCTATTGCTTCTTTTCTGCTAAAGTCAGGATAAAATCATGAGATGGTATTTCTTGCTGGGACTCAGATGTTTGTTAGCTCTTATCTATGTTACAGTCTCACAAACTGTAGCACTTCTACAGCACTTCCCTCTAACAAACTAAAAATGCAGCTCCATCTCTGTCTCTACAAAGTCTCTTAAGGATAAACTGTCCAATGAAGAAATGACACCTAAATTATTTTTACTTTTAACCCAATAACCAACCACCCATGGCCTGCAATGTGGACTTTTTAATCCAATTACACAAAATCACCCAATCCCATGGGGAAGAAGGTGAAGAAGAAGGTGAAGATGGACCAGCCTCTGCCCTGAAACCTCCATCTTGTTTATATATATTGCTATATTCTAAAACCTTTAACTCTAAGTTTTCCACCATGTGATATTACACATTTCTATTTAAACTCCACACCCACAATCCCAGATTATGGCAAGAATTGAATTCTACCATTCATTCAGATAGAATTGAATTCTGTTATTCCATTTTGGAGGCCTTCTCCACAGCCTCAGGTCAAATGCAGTGTTCTCTTGGGGGTCAGTGCCTGGCAGCACAGAAAGTCTGAAATTCTCATTAACCAGGGTTCCAAAATCTTGTGTCACTGGTTGCCTCTGGGCAGCTCTCCTGTGCTCATGGTACTCAGCCAGTGACCAACCTGCAGCCCCATGCCATCCCTGAGGGACAATCAGGACAGTGACCAGGGTGCCACCCAACCCAAGCAAACCCCAAAAGCCTTCAGTGAGCTCCTCCATCCCCTGAGAATTCCCATTCCTCTGCTGGGCATGAGGGAAACACAGAAAAACCTTCTGTGCCACATTCCTAAGGCAACACCCCCTTGCTAATTTTAGTGGCCAAACCAAGTGCACATCCCCAGCTCTGTGCTCTCATCCAAGGCTGTTTGTGTTGTCAGTACCTTTCTCCAGCAGGACACAGATCAGGCTGCCTCAGCTCTCCTCTCAGAGATATCCCAGTGATGCCTTGGAAGGCTGCCCTAGAACAGAGGCTGGACAGAGTTAAAGAATAAAGCAGGGATTTATTAACAGGATCTCCTCCATGGATCCACCTTGGGCAGCACAAGAGCCCAGCCAGGGCTACACACAAGGTGAACCAAAATGGGCACAAAATGGACACCCGGTCACAGGGTCTGTCACTGTGATCAGTTCTGCTCCATTTGCGTATTGGAGTTCATTGTCCAATTCCAGTTTAGGTTACGAATTCCCATCCTGCTTGTTTTTCTCTCTTCAGCCCACATTCTGCTCTTGGGCCTGAGATTTGGATCATTTGTCCTTGGTCCCCAGCTGGAGCAGGAATTGTTTTGTCTCCCTGCTCTGTGCACAGAGCTCACCATCCCTTAATGTGAAGTTCAGACCTGCACACTAAAGCAGCACAGAGTCTGAAAAATAGAAAAGCTAAAACATGAGGCATCACCTGCACTCTCAGGCACAAATTTCTCCTTCTTCCTCCTCTCACTGCCCTCCCAGTTTCATTTCCAGCCCTCCCTTAGGTTCCAGTGAGTTGGGAAGAGCCCATTTCACTTAAATCCTACTAACCAATGTATCTTTTATGTCACAGCAGCCTTTTCCCAACAGATTTAGGTTTGCATTCACTTTTTGAACATGTATTTGTACACACATGTTTGACTCCTCTTCCAGGACTGGAATTGCCAAACTCATACCAAGAGAAATATCTCATTAAAATCCATCTCTGCTCACTTTCTCCAGCAAAAGGAACCAGCAGAGCACATAAGTCTGGAGAAGAATTTAAACATCACTCAAGCTCCAGGGAAAGGTAACAATTTTTAATTCTCACACTGATTTTTTGGGCAGCACTCTGGCAACACTTCATTTTCCCACACAATAATTCAAGATGTCTGAGTGTTTTTTTCTTGCTTTTCCCTAGCCTACAGTGCAAGCCAGGAATGTTGTATCCTAAAGAAAAGAGTGATGCTAGGATACATTACTGTGCTGCCACAGCAGCTTACCAAGAACATGCACCTGAACCTGCCTGTGCACAGAAATAACCACCCTTCCTTGCACTGGGAATTGTGAACAAACAGCTAAAGCTGAGAATGAAAAAAATAGCTGAGAAAGAAAGAAAAGGAACAAAATATCCATTTTACCGAGGAATATGATCTTCCTTTTTTTTTACATATTTTTGTTTTTGGAAGAAGAACATTCTCTGCCCTGCAGCAGCCCCAGGTTCTTTGGTAAATTTGTGTTTCAGGACAAAATTTGGAGCAACAGGGCCACATTTAACAAAAACAGAGCCATTAAAACTGGCAGAACAGCTGGGAAATCAGGCTTTTCAAAGAACACATGTGGCTCAGTGGACAAAACCAGCTACACAGGGAGCTAAAACAGTGGAGAAAAGAAAGAACACCTGCAGTTAAAGGAGCTTCCTTAGTGCTGGGCTCTGCACTAGAGCCCAGGGCAAACACAGGGTGGAAAAGCTGCTCTCCAGCCTGTGGGAGCTTCTGGGACAGGGATTCACATGGAAATCCAGGCTAGGAGTTCTCAGAGTGCCTGCAAATATTAACCTTTGCTTTTTCAAGTTCTGACACTTAAATAAACAGTCAGGAGTAAAAGAAAGTTTGTGTACATTCTGGAATGTTTTGCAAAGAGCTGCAAAGATGAAAAGAAGCACTCTGTCAGTCTGACCCTGTCAGAGTATCAAGCAGAAGGGTTGAATATTCTCAGAACAGAGGTAAATGCAGCCAAAGTAAAAAAAAAAAAAAATAAAAATCTATTTGTTGTATATAATTATTTAGCCAGCTTTCCATGGAGGAAAGTTTTTGTCATGCATTTGCATTCAGTTAACTTCGGGTGTTTTAAAGATTTACAAAGGCAAATACAGAAGAAAAACAAGTTTCAACAAGTTTCCTCAGAGAGAGGTGCTGCCACTGTAACCACATTCTGAATTCTGTGTTTTATAAAGAACAGAGACTAAGCTCTGGTTTTCTCAGAATGACAGAATTCCAGGATGGTTTGGGTGGGGAGGGACATTAAAGCCCATCCAGTGCCATCCCTGCAGGGCAGGGACACTTCGACTGTCCCAGGCTCCTCCAAACCCCATCCAACCTGACTGTGGACACTTCCAGGGATCCAGGGGCAGCCACAGTGGCATTCCTAAAAGAAGTTTCTCGATTATTTAGCTCTGCAGTGTTATGATGCCCTTTTGGCTGTAGACAAAAACCTGCACCCAACTCTGGGGGTGACTGTAAAAATCCTCCCCTCCTGCCACTGCTTCAGCAGAGTCCTTATCTCAATCTTGGAAATCCTCTTACAAGGCCATTGTCTGGCTTCAATTATTTCACTCTTCCTTACCAGGGCTATTTTTGCATTTCTCTATAGGTTCTCTAATCTGAGCCTGCCTTTTGAGCTGAAGTTTCATCTCATTGCTTCTCCAGGAGTGTTCTGCTTGTGCTGAACAGATAAATGATGGCCACAGATAGCTACTTACCCAGACTATGCCAGCAAACCTCTGACTGCAAATGCAAAGCACTGCAGGCAAATTTGGATTGGATTAAGGACAGGCAGACACAGTCTTCATCCACTTATGCATTATTTTTTGGCTGCTCATTATCTGGACTTATTTCTGCTTAATGCCTATGGAGAATGAGATCACAAAGCCAGTCCTCTTATAAACAAACAGAAATTAAATAGGGGGGCGTTCATATTTTTTTTTTTAAAGGATAACTGCAATATTTATTGTAAACATATACAGCACAGCCAATGTGATATTCAGGAGTAAAAGCAGAGGGATTTGCCTCCACTTCTAACAGATAAGAGCAATTCTATCTTTTTGTTTCCTGCACAGCGCAAAAGGAAAGAGAGAAAGTGCTCAGCATTTTCTGGGCTGTTAGTTCCACACTGCCATACTGCCCAGTCCTCAGTCCATGGAATCATTTACACTTTAAACATTTAATGGCTTCAGCTTCTTCTGAAGGAAGATTTTCTCTAAGATTAAATTGCCACTAAAATTCTTTTACAGACAGACCCCCACCACCTTCCCAATAAAACAAGTACAGTGAAATTGCATTGAGTATATAATATATAAGGAAGGTTGTCTGTTCTTAAACTTCCAGTTGAACACTTTTTAAGTTCTTTATTTAGGAACTTTTTAAGATCCTTTTAAGTTCTTTTCATTGACTCCCATGTTTTTCTTACTGTAAGTAAGACCAAATTTCATTCAAGAATGAAATATTCCTTTGTACCCTCAACTCAGCAAGTTAGCAGAGCTTTCAAAAGACTCATAAGAACAGAAAACCTTAATTTATATATTAAATATCCAGTGTAATAGCTGAATCAGTGTAAAAGCTGTAATCTAGCTTTGGGAAAAGGGCAGTACCTGTGTTATTGGGGAGGTGGTGGTCTGTCCTTCACAAATCCCAGGTGCTCATGTACCTGCAAGCTTCCACATCCTGCCAGCTCTGGGCATTTCTCACTTTTGTTTCACCATCAGGGCTTTCTGTCAGGAAATGCTGGGAGAGAGAAGAAAAGAAATGATGGAAAGCATCCCCAGGCTGGTTGTGCAGAGAAGGCTTGGAAGGGTGGGTGTGAGCTTGGCTCTGCCTCCTGGTGCATCCTGAAGGAAGGAATGAAGGAGGGTCCACAGTCCCTGCAGACTCGTACCAAGGAAATGACTTGGAGAGGAAAAAGGGGGAGTCGGGTACTTTGTTATGAATCCCATGGAATTAGGGAATGATGGAATATCCTGAACTGAGAGGGACCCACAAGGATCATGGATCCAGCTCTTGTCCCTTCCCAGACACCCAACAATCCTATTCTGGACATCCCTGGGAATGACCAAACCCTTCTGAAGCTCTGGCAGCCTCAGGGCTGTGCCCATTCCCTGGGGAGCCTGTTCAGTGCCCAGCACCCTCTGAGGAAGAGCCTTTCCCTAAAATCCAACCTAAACCTCTTCTGATACAGCTCCAGCCATTCCCTCAGGTCCTAGAGATTTTCACACCTTCCCAGTTTTAAACACAACCCACTCTACACTGGAAAATACATTCTACATAGAGGAGAAAAACTATCAAAAAAAAAAAAAAAGCATGTTATAGACACAGATATTTATAAAATGGACCAAAATATTTGGATCTCTTGCACCCTGTTACTTTCTCCCCTCATCCCTTTTTCCTCCTCTGTCAGGCTTAATTATTCTCAAATATCCACAGCAGACTCAGAGGTTTTTCTGTTTCATCTGTGAGTCTTCCAGCACAGGGGTTTTGCTTTTACACTATTTTTGAGCTTCCTACCATAATTTGAGCTATGGGAAAACAGAAATAAAACTCAAACTGAGCCAGGGGTTCTCAGCATGAGGGACCACCCAGGTCAGTGCACTCAATAGCCCTGCCAGGTGTTCCTTCACCACCAGAGCAAGAATTAAATAACAAATTCAAGTAAGGAGAACATTTGGGGGATAACCTGGAAAGAACAGCCAGAGAATAAGTTTAGTTATTATTTTGTGGAAATACATCCCATAATACTGCAAACTGCCCCATTCTCCTGCATTAGCACTTCACTGTTATTGCTCTTGTATATTTTGCTGATGCTGGGCTTTAATTTTCAGGTGTGATGAGCATCTACCACACAAACATAACCCAAGAATCTTCTCTGGACACTCAGGCAATCTCATCACCAGGACATACACAGATCTATTAATATTTCATCCTGACATGTATTTTTAATCAAAAGATCTTAAAGTCCAGTTAAATCTCCAGTTTATATATTCCAGACTTCAGATGTTTCATTAATAGTTTATAGGACACAGACCTTACACACAAATGCCAAGACTGTAATGATTTACATGGATTTCTAGGATGAGGAGGACACACTAAAATGAGCTCTGTATCTTAAAACTCAGTACCAAAGCATCATTCACCATTTTTAGAAGGACAGAAACGTAAAAGTTTCCATAAAGAGAAGACACAGTGACATTTCAATAGTTTGTTGCAATTACCCCATTGCAGTGTTTGCTGTAGATTCAAATTCAGAATGGAAAGAACAAGAAAACTGGAAAAGAAAGTAAAACATTAAGGATCTCTGTGACATCCAGATATTTTAGAGCACCAATTCCCAGGGTGTCCCAGACAGAGGCCTGGATTTGAGTCCAACAGTGAAAACACATTTAACCCTTCCTAATGTATCTCAGTCTTCTGTTGATTCAGACTAAGTATTTGATAATTCAGAACTCCAGCCTCCAGCACAATGACATCAAACCAAATAAAAAACAATTCCTATGACTGCTGTATTTATGTTAGCAGGAAAAAAAGAAGGTGAAATAGGGCTTCTCTGTGTAGAGACAAATCAATTTAAATTCTAACAGGGAAGAAGGAAAAGATTCCACAGTGAAAAACTAAATGCTGATGACAGGATGGTTGATAGAAAATTAAGAGAGATTATTGGTTTGTTGGCCTTTTATCTTTTAGATGGGCGGGTTTCACTCTTTCTTTCATTTTTCCAGTGAAGAAATTTTGCCTGATATCCAAACTGACCCTTTCCTGGTGCAGCTTGAGATCATTGAGACTATTGGACAGTGCACTGTAAAATCATAAGTTTTTACTTTTTTACTTAGCCATGCATTACTTGCTTGGTGAATAAATTAAATCTTTTGGGGTAAAAACCTCCAAACTACGAGCTCTAGCAATCTGTATTTCTTGTTGTTATTAAAAATATATTATTTTTTTTCCCTCAGTAATGTTTTCTTCTGCAATGGATGCCCCCTGTAATCCTGAATCTTCACAGCATGTTTTCTTTAAAACAATATATTAAGTTAATAACCCCTTTAAAATACATAAAAGGTGCATTTGTATTCCATATGAAAGGCAAATATTTGAGTTTCTGCTCTAAAACTCCTTCAGTATTTCCATTCCCAGGGATGTGCTAAGTGTGCTAGGGGCTACATCTCTCATACTGTGATTCCTCATTCCTAGAAACTCTTTCAAAGTTTGGGGGTTTTTAAATTTTTTTTTCCATAAAAACTACATTATTTCAAAATCTGATTCTCTCTGTAGATTTGCTGGTTGAAAACCCACAAAGTTCATTAGCAAATCATCATATTTAGCACCCAAGCTGTATTTTCTATATTTATCTGGTTTGCTGAGCCACGTCTCAAATTTCAGGAAATTTATACAACATATTTAAGAGCAACCACAGCAAATATTCAGATGTATATGACTTATAATTACAAGATTTGATGCATGTTTTATACACCCTTACTGAACACAGGTGTTTTTCTAAGGCTGTTTGCAAAATCCATGAAGTGTTAAGTGATGTTTGCTGTGTGCAGGAACTGGGTGGAAATTTCTGCCTCAAAGATTAGTGTCTTATTTTCACAGAGAATTTCTTTTTTTGCTGAACATGTGGTGCAGTCACTGCTTTTTAGGCAAAAAAAAAAAAAAAAAAAAGAGAAGTAAATCTCATATGCTAGCTGCTAGGGGAAAGTTATTTTCTTATTGTTTTCTTTGGTACTATGGTCTATTTGTGCACCAACCTACGGTTTTTTTTCAGAATTGTTAGCCAAAAAAAAAAAAAAAAAAAAAATTTGTCATTAAAATACCCAAACCCAGTCCTGCTAAAAATGAGAAACTGGCAAAAAGGGGCTTGCAATACATTAAACACAATTTTACAATACATTTGTGATTAAACTGGCATTTAAACACAGGGAGAAAAAGCAATGAGAAGGAGTCTCACAGCTGGGCATCCTTTCACAAAATTCTCACGATAAGAAAATATTAAAAAATTTTTCTGTCTAGAGACAGAAGGTATACAAAAGGTGGTACAATCTGAAAATGAAGCCAAAACACTTCAACAGTCAGCATTAACTAAGTAAAAAAGGAAGAAGAAAAAAAATTAAAAAAGAACAAAACAACTCCCAGAGAGGTATTTAACATAAAAAAGCTGGATTAGCAGATTTTCCAAAGATTTTAGGAGGGGCAGGAAAGGGACCAGATGTTGTGAGCATCCTAGCATGTATTTTATGAGCTAGAACAGCATGTGCATTGTTCTGCAAAGAATACCTGTAATCTACACCCTTTTCCCCCAAATAAATTGTTGTTTAAGGTTCCTTTCTCTTGCAGTGCATGCCATGGGTGTGAAACATGTGAACACAAATGCAGTCAAAGATGCTTTTAGTGCACTTCAGACTGGAATGGAAAGCCAGGGTTACGCATCTCATTTTTAGCTATGCTGGATACATGATTGCCTCCTTGAGTGGCAATCACAAATTATTATCAAAGGGCAACACAAATGGCATTCAGATTTCAGTGCCTGAGCTCATTATGACATTTAGAGCACTTACAGCTTATTGTGAGTTTTGTTGATTGCTGCTTGTGCACAGATGACAAATATTGCAGAGCACCTCAGACAAGCAGGGCCATTTTCTCCGTTGTGTGTCCCTGTTTTGGGGTAATTTGGCTGTGCTGAGCAGCTCTGTGGGGAAGAGGCAGGAGGGACCTGGCAGCCAGCTTGGGTTGGGTGTGACATCCCCTGTCCAACCCATGCAGAAGCTGAGGTCAATTCTCATGAAAGCAGATGCTGAATGAAATCTTGCAGACTTTCTGAGGGACTGAAAGCCGAATTTTGTCCCAACTTGGGTCCAGTCAGCCACTTCAAACCCTCTCACCACAAGGACAATTCAGCTGAGGTGTGTGTCCCTTTAGGAGCAGAAATCAGAGAGGGAAGGGCTGGAGCTCTGACCTTGCCAGGGGAATTTGGAACTAGGTCCCTTCCAACCTCAACCATTCCATGATTTCATTTCACAGAAGCAATTCAATCTTCCAAATACCACCTTTAAAAGGCAGAATTTTGAGGACATTATTTTTTTCAGGCTGAAACCAGAAACCTGTTCATACCTCTCCATTTCTGAGACCAAACCCCAGTCTGTGCAGGTCAGTGAGGTGGATGTGGGCTGGCACTGCTGAAAGCCACAATCAAATCCCTGCCTGCTGATTAACATCACTCCAAGGCAAGTCCGACTCTGCAAACGGCATTCACCAATTACAGAAACAACCAAGTGGTGTCCCAGGAATGGATCTGATCCACAGGACTGGTTGGATTTGAGTCTCAGGCAGTGCTGCTTTGTAAGCAGAAAGGTGAGAGCCTCTTGGTTGAGGCAAGGCTTGCTCTGTTACACACACATCATCCAGGTGAGGCCATGGAGCTGCTGTATATGAAAACAAGGTTCACTCTCCTCACCCACATGGCTCAGACATGAAAATGAGCCAGGGAGGAGCTGAGGCAGAGCCAGAGGCTTCCCTGCTGTGGCTGTGTCCCCCCGGGTGTGTCCCCACCATGGCAGTGGGTACCAACAGAACCGAGTTCAGATCCTGCCCAAAATGATCCCACTTTCCCAGCAGAGATTAAACAGTGCTGCCCCACAAATCAGCTTTGCCTCAAGCACAGCATCTTGCACTGAAGAAAAAGCCAACTACAGACACTGGCAAAGAGGTGAGAGAGTTGAATTTCCTGACAAACATCACAGGCTGCTAAGCTGTGACCCAGAGAAAACTTCAGCAATTAAATCCACCCTGGCTGGTTTGCCCTCTCCTTTCTCTCTTCTGAGACTTCCTTGTTTTTGTTTGCCAGAGGAAACACAGTGGTCTGTGTTTTAAGTTCTTCCTGGAGGTGCTGGGTAGTCACAGAGAAAACCTGATTAAAAACTTCTCCTGCCATGTTGTTCCTCTATCACACGATGCAATGATTTACATTAATAACAGCAGAGAGCAGGGAAGACCTGCTGAGCCTTTAATAAACTTCCTTTTTTCCAATCACTTAAAACCTTCTTTAAAGTTGCAACTGAAGTAATACAAAGCCTGCATAACAGTACACTTGACATTTATGAGCTTGGCAATAAATCAGATTTTTGTTTTTACAATGTCTGCTTTTGATTAATTGTAAAAGTTTACTATAAATACTTCCAGACAAACAGCAGAATGGTTAATAAATTGCATTCTTCTTGCTAATACCTTAGGTCATAATGGAGTAAATGCCTTAAACCATATACATTAAATTCAAAGTACTACAAAAAGCCAAATGCTCACAAGTTTCATTACTGTGTTCATTAGGCAATAATTGTGAGGCAGCCTGAATTTCCCCTAGCCTTGGCATCTATTAATGCAGTGCACAATTCAGTACAGGTTTTAAGGTAAAAGCTCCAATGCTCAAACATAAACAACATGTATAATGCTTCTTAAAACCCCCTTATTTTTGATAATAGGACGTGATTAAGTTAAAATAGCAAGAGACTGTAATCTTGATTTGAAAGCCTAGGAAGAAAACCCTCACTATTATTATTTTTCAGTGTGATACAAGTGAAATGCAGAGAATGTAATAATGCCAGAATTCTGCCACAGGAAAAGACCTGGCACTGGGCTTTGTGGAATGCAATTTTATCCCTCCAGGAAAATGTCTCACCTGCTCCTCCTGGGTCCTTCCCTGGGAGGGTGCCAGAGCTGAAGGGCAATGCAAATAGAATGAGCAGCAGCAAATTGAATTATGCTGTTGTAACGTGGCATTATTTGGCGTAAATGATTTTGTTGCAATTAAGGAAACAGCTCCAGAGCCCACAGCAGGTGGGTGGTGCTGCAGCAGCTCCAGGTAAGCTGGGCCTGCTGACAGGAGAGGGAAGATTCTGCATGCAGAAGCAGCTCTGCTCTCCAGCACAATAAACATAAAAATGCATTATTAAAGGAGTAACTGATATTGCAGACAATCAAAGTAGCCACTGTATAAACACTCCTGAAGTGTTTGTCTGACTGAGTGCACAGGCCACATCCAGACCTGTGTAGTGTTCAAATCTCATTAGCACCTCACCAAAGAGGTGTGAAATGATGGATGTGCCAGGCTTTGTTTTCTGCCCAAGAGTTCACTGTTCTCCTAATTACTGCCTGCAACTAAAATCAGCATTTTTAGAAGCTCCTTTTGCTTGCAGTTCTGCTACTTGCAGACAGACCTGCCACACTCAGCAGTAGAAATAAATCAGATTTTATAATAGTTTGGAGAAGAGCATTCAAAAATCATGCTCTCAACACTTTCCACTCTCTGGTGGCTTTTGGGTTGCACTGTAACTCATTTTTACTCCAGGAAAATATTGTTTTGATTGATATGTCTTTGCCCTAATTGCTTGTGAATTTGTTACATTTTAAAAGCAGCCACCATCCTCTATATGAGACGGATAAAGTACTGAATAAGAGAAAAATCAGATAATTGCTCATTAAAGTTGAATACAAAACAAATAAAGAGGGCATCTTCCAAAAGTTCTCTTGGTCAGTTCCATCCATGCAAGAACACACAGCACTGATGCTCTTTAAGATGTAAATGAAATTTCCATATAAACGAGGAACTCAAAGTCTTTAAAACTCCATTAAGCCAAGGCCAGGTTGAAGCTACCTGGGATAGTGGAAGGTGTCTTGAGCAAGGGGATTGGAAGGAGATGAGCTTAAGGTCCTGAAAACCCAAAACACTCTGGGATTGAGTTTTTCTATGGAACCTGTGCTCTGTGCCCTCATCCCAAGGGCAGTGCAGACACCTTAACAGCACAGAAAAGTCATGGAGAGCAAATCCTTCAGGTGACATAAAAATCTACCCAGTCATAGGGGACAACTTGTTTGTATCCGCCAAAAGCAATGCAACAGCAAAGGGAGAGCACTTTTCTCAATGGAGTCCACTCAGTACAAATTTACCAGGAATAAAACATAAAAATAAAAAAGAAAAATATTTTTAAACTTCCCATCAGTGGACTCAAAGCTTTTATAGTGACTGGAGACAAAGCTGAACACATACCTGAGCCTTGAGAGGTTTTTTGTGTTCTGTTTCCCAGCTGGTCAGCAGTGGTGATCCCAGGCTCAGTCCCGGGCCAGTCCTGTTTAACAAAAGGAAATGGCCTCAAGCCATGCCAGGGGAGGGTGAGGTTGGACATCAGGATGGATTTCTCCCTGGAAAGGGTTGTAAATCCTTGCCACAGGCTGCCCAAGGCAGTGGTGGTGTCACCATCTCTGGCGGTGTTCAAAAACCTTGTGATGTGGCATCTGGGGACGTGGGTGAGTGGTGAACAGGGTGATGGTGCTGCTTGGAATTTATGATCCTGGAGATCTTTTACAGATTAATGACTCTGCAATTCCATCTTTCACAAGCTCTCTTTGCTGCAGGGCAATAATTCACTCCCTTTCAGAGCAGAAGTGAGCAGCCCCCAGGCAGATTTTCCCAGATCAGAGATTTCCCCATTGCCCCCTGCAGACCCCACCATCAGCTGCCATTTGGGGCAGGACAGGGGAGCTCTGGCCTTGTCCAGGTTGCAACTGCTTTGCCTTGGAAAGATCCATTTGAGAGCAACATAAACACCTGATAAATATCAGGGATTCACATCAGCTGAAGTTCTGAGGACAGAGTGGATGATGATTGTTTCTCAGAACCAAGGCAGTGCAGCTCTTCTCTGTCCTAGAAGAATGTCTATAAACTTAGTATTTTAGACCTAAACCAGCAATTGAGATCTTGCTGCTGCTCTAACCCATTGCTACCACTAGACACCACCTGCACATTTAGAAAACATCCAATAAAACAAGAACACCTAATTGAACAAGAAACTAGAAGAGAAGTTAAAGCAGCCACAGGCTGGATCTTAATTAGAAAAACTCCTTAGAAAAAGCCAGAGAAACTAAAGAACAGAATTTTGAGCAACTTGCAAGGTTCATACTCCATGGATTTCCAAGTCTTAGGTTGAATCCCAGGATCACTGAGGTTGGACAAAGCCCTCCAGGATCATGGAGTCCCAGCTGTGCCCAGTGCCCACCTTGTGCCCAGCCCAGAGCACTGAGTGCCACCTCCAGCCCTTCCTGGGACACCTGCAGGGCTGGGCACTGCAAAGCTCCCTGGGCAGCCCCTGCCAAGGCCCGAGCACCCTTTGCATGCAGGAATTGCTGCTGCTGTCCCAGCTGAGCCTCCCCTGGCCCAGCCTGAGGCCCTTTCCCCTTGTCCTGTCCCTGTTCCCTGGCAGCACAGCCCGACCCCCCCTGGCTGTCCCCTCCTGGCAGGGAGTTGTGCAGAGCCACAAGGGCCCCCTGAGCCTCCTTTGCTCCAGGCTCAGCCCCTTGACAGCTCCCTCAGCCCCTCCTGGGGCTCCAGACCTTTCCCAGCTCTCTTCCCTTCCCTGGACAACAAACATATTTTTCTCTATCAAATGTTGATGTGCAGAATCTGACTCTCTGTCAGATTCCTGCTGAGAATTACTCCTGCTGCCTTGGTCCTGCTGCTTCTCAAGCCCTGTCTTTGAAGCCCTCAAGAGCAAGGCTGCAATAACTTTCTCTAAAGCTCTTCACAATCTTGCACCATGAAGGGTTTGGGGACACTGCATCAGAAATGCAGCTACAGACCCCAGAGGGCAGGAAGCAGAAACTTCTCTAAGAAAAGCCTCTGACTGTGGCAACATAAATCTGGCTAGAATAAAAAATGCCATCTTAGCTATGTCAGCTTTGGATGAGAGTGTGAAAGGTGCCTGTCAAGGACCCAGGCATATTTTGTGTTCAGCCTCTCTCCTGGGAACCCTTCCTTTCCAAATGCTGTGCCTTGGCTCCCCATGTCAGATAAGCAAAGCCTTCAGTATTCCTTTTTTACAACTCACTCCTGATTTCAGCACCAAAGGCCACTCTGCTGCTCTTCTTACAAGAGCACCAACCCCTGGGAGAACAGCTGAAATTTGTGGTAGCTTTTGAAGAAGGCAGGAGCTCTGCACTGGAGACACAGGTCACAGGAGGACTGGAGCCACTCCAACTTCTGCTCAAGGCAAGGCCACTGTCGGGATCTCTGCTGGTCACAGTGACCCTTAGAAATGTTAAAGAGTCTCTTTTCCCAGCCCAGAGCTTGAAGAAGGAGTCAGGGCTCTTCCTTTCTCAGTCTCAAGGTTGTTTTTTGTTTCTTATCTATAAAATTCTTTCTCCTGCCCTGCTGAGGTCTGTTCAGCAGGACAGTTCCAGGCACTCTGCCTGCCCCTGGGGTGGTGTTATGTCTTTATACTAAAAACTACCTGTGCATTATTTACTGTCACAGACATCTTTTATGAAAAATCCTTTCCTTAGGATTTTTCCTCCTGACAAACTGAGAAGCCTCAGGAACAGAATGTAAACATTGATTATCTGCTGCTGTGGAATGCAACAGGGGCATCTGTGATTGGCCCATGTTGGATGTTTGTAATTAATGGCCAATCACAGTCAGCTGGCTTGGACAGAGAGCTGAGCCACAAACCTTTGTTATTCATTCTTTCTTATTCTATTCTTAGCTAGCCTTCTGATGAAATCCTTTCTTCTATTCTTTTAGTATAGTTTTAATGCAATATTATTATAAAATAATAAATCAGCCTTCTGAAACATGGAGTCAGATCCTCATCTCTTCCTTCAACCCAAGACTCCTGTGAACACTGTCACAATTTACAATTACTTCCCAATACCTATCACCTGTGTTAGACAGTGAGCTTTTACTCTAAACCAATCTAAAAATGCCAACATCACAGCAGAAGATGGAGGCCAAGAGGAAGAAGAAGGGCTGGACATGCCCAGATCCCTCCATCTTGCCCCCTGAACCCCCATTCTAAAAACCCCAAAATCTACTTTTTCACCTTGTGATAAATTCACTGTCATTCTACTTAATTTGTCATGGCTTGCAGATCTTCATCTGAGGTTGGTAACTTGCTCCACGGGTCATAATCAAACCCACAGGTGTTCTGGGCTCTGTGCCAGGGTCTCTGAGCCCCCTGGCAGGGGTCCTGGCCATCCTGGACAGCCACAGGGATGTGCTGGGTTCCCACAGGCCACCTCTGAGGCAAGGCCAGGCTGCTCAGGGCTTTAACACTCAGCTCCTGAGCACCTTCAAATGCAAACCCCTCCAGTTTGTGTCACCCCCAACATTGCCTTCCTGCCCCCCAGGTCACTGATCCCAGCGTTTCTCATGGTGAGCCTCCCCCAGCCCTCTGCCTTTCACAGGCACCTTCAATGAGCTCAGAGCAGCAGAGAAGGGCCCAGAGGAGCCCCAGGTCGTGGCAGCATCATTCACTGTGCTCTGACACATCCAGCCAGCTCACCTGCAGCGTTTCTGCTCCGAGATCCAATCAAGCCCTCCCCAGCCTGGCCAGTGCTCAGCACAAATCTGTAATAATGAGCTGTCAAGCTTTCACTGCTCCTCCACAGGAGGAGCACAATCCTGTTCACCCACAGCAGCTCCTGACAGATCCTGCCTAACCCTCTATTTCCTCCAGTAAAAAGGGACTAATCTTTCCAAGTGGATGAAAAGGCAGCATGTGGACATTACGTACATAGACCTTGGTTCTACATGCAGGCTGCTTTAAAGCATGTAATTATTGCTGCTTTTCTGCAATACAGATTGATGGAACAGGTCAGTAACAGGACTCCCATCAATACACCTGGGGAAAATTAAAATAAATGAGCACTGTGCTCACTCAAATGTCCGTATTCCCCCTGGATGGACTCAGCAGGGCTGGCCTTCCCTGCCCCATGGTAAAACTAACCTTACAAAAAGAGGATTATTCCTGGCTCTCCACAGGTCCTGGGGCTGGCTCCTTGGCTCTCTGCAACTTCTCAGTTCCAGAGAGGCTCCAGGAGCACCAAAGCAGCAGAGCTTTGCCTGTTGTCACTGGTGCCTGTGGGAACTCAAACACATGTGGGGTTATGGCTTGTTTTATGACAACACTGTGCAGAAATTTTCTATCAGAAAACAAACAACACCTTTGCATAAGCAGCATTAATTGCCATTAATAATGATGATGCAAATATTTCTTTTATACAGCTGAATTTCCACTCCAAGTTTTAGGCAATAACAGCAAAATTATACATAAAAAGAAATTAATTACTATGACTGGACCCTGAAAGAGAAAGCAATGACTGGTTAAGTCTGTGTATCCTCACACAGCCTCTGTGGCTGCTGGCTGGGTGAGCAGCACAAGAAATTCCATTTTCCTCATGGAGGCAGAACCCTGCTGGGTGAGGAAATTAGGATATGGAGGAAAGAAGGAGACAAATTTTGCTGCATTTGAAAACCACCTGTTCCAGCCACAGAGAAACAAAGAGCCTGCATGTAAGAGAAAAGCTTCATTATTGATGGAGTTTTAAGGGCTTCCATCACATCCATCAGGGCATTACTGAAAAATTAAGTATTTCTCAGCTAATTATTTTTATTTACTATATTTACTCTGTCTTTTTACTGATTTATGTTCCTAAAAAGATGAACCAGGAGGCTGCATAGCACAGGAGACAACCAGCCTAGTACCCATGCATACATGAGAGAATTTCTCTTGCCATCAGTCACTGACGATGAGTCCAGTGTGGATCCCATGGTGAATCCCATGATGATCCCATGGTGAAGCTTGGTTGAATCTCAGCACTTTCTGCTCGTTGTTTATATGACCAAACTCCAGGACTGGGGGACCTCTGTGCTTCCTTGGGACGGAGGGCTCTCCATGGAATGCTGCAGATCCAGGTCTGACCTTTCCATCTCCCTTAGTTCTGCATCTTGTCCCATTCCAGACCAGCAAATCTCCCTCAACAGCTCCCAAAACCACCTTGATTCGAGATTTTGGGTTTTGCTCTTTGTGGGTCTACAGAGCAGAGTCATGTTCTGTGCTCAGACAAGGCTCTCACAGAGAGAACTCTTTGCAAAGCCTGAATATTTTGGGTGCTTTTGGTCAAGTAAGAGCAACCTCCTCATCCTGCTCTCCGTGACACATTCATGGTGCTTCTGATCTCACAGATGTGACAGCCACCTTCCCAGCAAGTCAGGATGGCACTAGAGGAACACCTTAAGCAGGTTTCTACAGACTTCAGAGGCTTTTACATGGAAATTCACCAAGATTCATGTCAC